TAAAGGTGATGTCATTGCAAGTGCATTCTCTGTGACTTGGCATTGCTTTCCTGTGTGAGAAAGCTCAAGATTGGTTGATCTCCTTGTCCTCTTAGAGACATGATTAAAGAAGATGAAATCCATTTACATCCTTCTCTTAAATCTTGTTCCCTTACAAATCCTATTGAAATGAACATAAGATTGCAAAGTAAAGGTGCTCTCTAGACTTTCATCTTATTATAAGCCAGGCATTTTAAAGTTGGAGAATTCATGAAACTAAACATGTAAGAAAAATGTCATTTGTGTGTCCTGGACTTTTGAAAATGTCATTCCATATAAAATTCACAGTGTCATTGAGTTGAACATGGTCAACTTTTGAAAATCATCTGCCTGTCCCATTAAGAGTGGGTTAGCCAAGTGTGGGTGGCACATACCTTTAATCCTAGCACTTAGGAAGCAGAGGTAGGCACGCCTTTGTGTGTTCAACAGCAGCCTAGCCTACATACTGAGTTCCATGCCAGCTGGGGCCACAGGGGAGACCCTGTCCCCCCAAAAAGAGTGACTTATTAAAGAGTGCTATAAGTTTAATTCCTTGTTAAGTATTTTGTTACCTATATTGATAGAAATTACTAACAATTTTTTCAAATGCAATGTCTATATATCAACATTAATGATAGTTGTCGCTACATAAAAACTCTTATATGTTTTAAAGCTTTTATTGTGTAATTTCCTTTACATATAACATGTAAAATCTTTACTTGGAAACATTTTATTTGATAAATATGAAATTTTTCAGATTTCAGTTCAAATGAGTCACCTAAGGACCCAAGATGATGACTTATTGGGTAGGAGAGCTTAACAACTGAAGTTCAATTCCCAGAATCCACATGGTAAAAGGAAATAATTCACTCCCACAAGTTGTCCTCTGACTTTCACATGTATGGCACATGTGCACTCACACACAAACACAGACAGTATACATATGAGTCATTTAATTCCTCTCTTTTCCTGACTTTCCATGCCTTTGAGAACACAAGACGGCAGCTTGTTATGCGGAGGTGCTACTTCCTGTTCCTCCACAGGTACACTTGTAGTTCCGGCCGCTAATCTCATCACACATTGTCATTGTAGATGTACTGAATACAGTGTGTTCAGATTCTCTTACACTGTGCCTCCTATTTTCCACAAGAGGAGGAGAGTCCTACACCATGGGTATACTGTCTCTGAGGTCACTTTATTTCCTAAACTTTGCTGATCAGGAAAATACTCATATACATAAAATAAGAGTAAATAAATAAAAACTTCCCCCTTTTGTTGGGAGCCATGCTTGCCATAAGCATTGGAAATTAGGAGAGTGCCACTTTAAGAGCTTCTGAGCTCTCTGCTTCAGCGGTCAGAGCTGACAGGCTGTACCTGTATGATAAATTAGATCTTCTGGAAGATGCAGCTACGTGCTGTATCCATAGTAACTTTTTTGTTTCTGTTAGTAAAAATCACCTAGGTAACCCCAACTCCAGGTCAGACAAAAAGGACCTGGGGGACCCCAGAGTCGAGTTCCTTCTGGAGATCTCTCTTCGACCTGTACCTGCCTTCCTTTCAATAAATTCCTCGCATAACTTCAGACTTTGGCCTGAGTGTCCTTCTTGTTGAAGACCCAAGCCTGGTGGGCTTGGGGGGTGTTCGACACCCTTTATTCAAAGTTGATAGATGAATTGGATAGATGAATTTGGCCAATTGGGACAAAGCACCAGGATACAGATGAAATTCCAGCAGGATAGAGTTTATTAGCAAAAGAAAATACACCTGGGACAAATTCCCTTTGGGGTAGGGAAAAATGTCAGCTCTCAGGTTGTAGGCCAGGGTTTTTATGAGGGGAGGTTTCAGGGGATGCAGAAAGCGGGAAGATATTTTTAAAAATTAGGCAGGGGAAGCAGGGAAGCAGGAGCTCAGGGCTTCTCAGAACACCTTCTGTTAAAACCACCCCCTTCCATCCATCAGCCAGGATCTGGGTCAAAAGGTAGACGTCTGTTTACATTTTAAGATTATCAAAGGGACAGTCTTCTGTGCTAAAGCAACCCCTTGGGTCTCTGATCAAAAGGTGGAGTCTGTTTATCCTTCAGGATCATCAAAGGGGAAGTCTGCTGTGCTGGCCAAAAGGTGCAGAAAAGTCTGCTTCTCTTGACTTCAAAGACCAGGGTGCTCATCAACCGGGTTCCTTCAGTCTCAGGGGCCCTGCAGAACTGTGAGGCCCTGCTGCATTGGGGAGGGAGTTGCTGTAGGTCCAAACCCTAACAAAAGTGTGTGTGGTTTTATTGGCCATTAGACTTTAAGTGGCTCCTGGAGATATTTTGCCTGTCCTTACATGGTAGAAATAAGCTCCCCGGAGTTTCTCTGCATTGAACCCTATTAAATGTATATAAATACACACACACACACACACACACACACACATTTCTCTCTGTGTGTGGTGCACGTATGTGTGTTTGCAGACACACATGCATACAAATGCATGTACACATGTGTATCTGTGCATGCTTGAGCACACACATGCTTGTGGAGGCAAGAGATTAACTTCAGGTTGTTCACCTTATTTGGAGGGACAGGGTCTCTCACTGAACCTAGAGCTCACTGATGCAGATAGTCTGGCTGGCCAGTGACCTGTAGAGCTCCACCTACCACTGCTCCCTAGTGCTGGTATTACAGACACTCAGGGCTGTGGTGAAATTTTAAGTGCCTGCTTGGCGATCCAAACCCGGGTCCTCACTTGCACAAAAACACACAAACACACACACCCCAAAACCCATTTCACTCACACTCAAATATACACATTCATTAACATGGATTCAATCCCATCCCACCCCATCCCTCACATTTGCTCACATATTAACACATTCACTAAAATACACACACACACACACACACACACAAACACACACACACACACATTCATATATGATGTCACACATCCGTGGACAAGTTTGATGTGCCCCATCAGATGCATTAAGCTTCTGACCGTGCTTCCAGGCATCTGGCGCCACATGTCATGACTGCTGTCCCATGCCTTCCCTTCAGTAACTAACCTACGTATTCCTGGGGCCTCCCTGAGTGCCCTGGGAAATGAGGAAAACACTGCCCCCCTCCACCCATCGGTATTTGATCACCTGGCTCCCACCCACCCAGGGAACCCCAAAGACCCTAATGGGCTCTGCCCTGTCCCATCCCAGCCCACCCCCAAAGAAAGATTAGACTCAGCTGGACCATCTATGAAATTTATTGAAGAGAAACATTTACTGGTATCATTGAAGAGAGGGGGATGACAACACAGAAACTTCTCACAGTCACTAGAAGCTGGAGGTCCTGGGCCACCCTCCTCCTGGAGCTCCTCACAAAGGCCTCATCTGCCCACCACACTGGGACCCCTCTGCCACACTCTTCCTTCCCCAGAGTCCCAGATCTGCCTTTTGCTAGGAAAATGACCTTTGGAAATGCCCTCACTCTTTGGGAAGCCCTCTCCAAAAAACACCTACTGTGGGGTGGCCCTGACCTATTCTGGCACAAGATAGTCACAGGACATTGGAAAGCACAATGGGAAACAGCTCCAAAAACCCTAAAAAATGGAGTTAGAAGTACAAGGGTGGAACGACATAGCACAATCCCCAAGCCTGGTCCAAGTCTTCCTGCCCTTTCCAGGTTGAAGTCAGTCTCAACATGGGCATCAAACAGTTCATCACTGTTAGCCATCCTCATTGCTGGTTCCCAGGATTGGTCTCAGGGGCTCTGGAGAGGCACTGCTCAGATAGGAACACATGTTATCTGTAGGAGATCAAGCAGCAGCGGCCTGGCCTAGGTGTATATCAAGAAAGCAGACTAGGCGCTCACGACACTGGGTGGAAAAGAAGCGAGCACAGCCTTGCCTGGCACAGAAGCTCACAACACATGTGCCAGGGTGTGGAGGTGGCTGACTGGGTAGTCAAAGCCTCCACCTGCTCAAGTTAACACACACTTCACAACTTTGTACAGGAGCCATGGGTTGGGGGTAAGTGTGGGAGTGGGTACTCACTGGACAGCTGGGTCACTATGTGGTTGACAGGGAAGGGATTCCCCAGGGCAGGGGGAAGACTGTGCCAGGATGGCAAAGGGGACAGAGGGAGGGGAGGGCTGTCTGTGCTGGGAGAGCCAGGCAGTCAGCAGGACCACTGAGACGGCCTCTTCCGTGAAGTCCACCTTCCTGGTGTGAGTGGCAGACAGGACGGCACCTCAGTGTTGCTTCCAGGCCACCCGCCCAAGTCTGCGGGGTCGGGGGCCAGCTTTGGCAGTGCTGTGTTCACCAGGCTCTCCCTGCTTGCTCTCTGGGGTTCTCCAGCCGCCCTGGACAACAGAAAGCAGAACAAACTACCCCACCACCACCGAGCCCTCCTCCTGCTCTTGCAGCGCCTGTTTACACAAAAGCTGCCCTGCACACCCACTTCTTCCCAAGCCAGCTGAGGGCACCCACCCCACGGTACCTGGTGCCTCAGCCTGGGGCTCTTCTCAGGCACTGATGTCTTTCTCCCTCAGCCCTGTCAGACTGCAAGAGAAGAAACTGCCCCTGGGCTGGCAATGGCCTCCCAGGGTCTTTGGGTCCAGAGACCCAGCTTTCATTTACACAGGTGTTTGATGTGCTGCTCTCGTGGGGCTCCCCAAGAGCAGTGTAGATGATCCTGAAGACAGGCTGCACACTGCAACCTTTTCTCTGGAACACTGCTACCGTGCCTTGTGGTACTTGCCCCCAGGCACTGTTCCCTCTGACTAAGACAGTTCTGTGGCAGGCTCCTCCACACCCCATGTGGGCAGGGGATGGGTGGGTTTCTTTGATTTCCCAGTCTCATCATGTTTTGATTCTGTTTCACTGATACCCCTTCTGAGTCTCTGTGGCCCTGTGTGCCAGCTGCACCAATTCCCAGCTTCCATATCTGGCACTTTCTGGGGGCCTTGCAACTGGCCATCACTGAGCTGGATGCAGTGTGCTTTTGCTTGTTAGAGTCCTTTACAGTTCTCATTGGGTGAGGGAACCTGACCTGCACCTGGTTGTTTTGTCCTTGTGTCCCACTCAGGTTCCCTGTCATTTCTCTGAGCCGTTCCTTGCCCATCTTCAAGTATCTCTTTTGTTTTCTTGATCTATGAGAATAATTGTTGGCCTGTTCCTTGGAGCCTACTTGGTCTTGGGCTTGGGACGGCTCTTCTCCCAAGCCTGGCCCCTGTTTCCCAACTCAAATGCAGCCTGTCTCTTCTGCTTCACCAATGGCAGGTTAGAGGGGTTGAAACACTGTACTCTGATGTGGCCATCTTCTCCACAACTATAGCAGAATGTGTCATACCTTTGCTTTCTTAAGCCTTGGGATCCAGCCCTGTGCACACCTTCTCTCCGATGCTGGCCTCTGCCCCTCCGGCGACGGGTACCCTGGGAAGGCCTCACCTCAAGAGTGTTGCCCAAAGCAGGAGCAAATACTGCCCTACTGCCCGTGTTAGATGGACCTGGGCCTAATTCCATCCCCTCTAGGCACCTCTTCACTGGACCTAGAGTAGCCTCCCATTCCTCCTCCTCCTCACGCAAAAGCCTTACCAGGGCCAGGAAGCCAGGTGGCCTCCTGCGCTGTTTCATCAACTTAAGCTTCTCTCGAAGCTTTCCAGTAAGGGTGGCCCCACCTAAGATTCTTTTGAGGCGAGTGTGATTCACATTCCTTCGTGGTATTGCATGTTTCTCTATAGCTTTTTGGAGCAATGGTTCCAAACGCAGCACAAAACTAGACACTTTCTCTCCTGGCTCCTGATAGGCATTACAAAATTTCAGCTGGGCAATTTTTCGATTCTCTACAGGCCCAAATACCTGCCGCAGGGCCTCCAGGCACTCCTTCACTGTGACAGCAGCATTGTTAGCCCGGAGAACACTGACCACCTGTAGAGCAGGGCCTCGCAGGCATTCTATCAGCCTCCGCCTCTTTTCCATCTCGGGCACCTGCCACATCTGTAACATCTCAGTGGTGTGCTCAAGCCAGGCATCAAAGGCCAACCACCCTGGAATGGATACGCTGTTCCCAGAAAAGACTCTTAGTTCTCTGTACAACATCTGTTCTAGCAGAGGCTCCATCACTACACACAGAGTCTGGGCTAAGGTCCAGAAATCTGGTGCTACAGCCATTCTACAGGGCGAAAAATGACGGTGTGTCCCAAGGAGTCTGTTCATGTCTGATACTGTGCGCCTCTCCTCCTCTAAGAAGTGGTTCAGTTTATTAAGAAATTCATCGTCTGAGTGAGGGGGTTTCACAATCACTTCCCAGGGTCCCCCCTTTCCTGGTATCTCCCTGGGCACCAAATCATAGTCCAAATCCTTTGCAAGTTCCAACAGAAAGGCCTGGGCATTCTCCTCCCTCCGAAACATCCTGCCAATGATCCTGTATCTTCCCAGATGCCTGAGAGCTAGCTCCAGAGTCTCCTCAAACTCATCCTCACTACAATCCTCGGGTATCCCCAGGATCAGCATGGATCTCTGGGTGTCCAGATGCTCCCCCCTACACCAATCTTGCAACAGGGTCAACGGCATGGTCGCAACTTCAACAGATTCTAATGTGGGGAGTGATCAGGACATGATGTACATAAATCTGGGACAAATCCCAGGAAAAACGGCAGCCCACCCAGGTCTCCAGAGCCTGTGAATATGAATGGGCAAGATGAGGTTAATACCCTTCCCCCCCCCCTCCC